AAACACCCAGAAAGACCAAGGCCAGTGCAGCCACACGCAGCAGTTGAGTAACAGTGAAGGGTCACACCTAGAAAATGAAGACCCGGCTGGACCATGGTGGCAAGCGCCTTTAATCCCAGCACTTGGGGGGCACAGGCAGGAGTCTATGTGAGTTCGATGCCAACCTGGTCTACAAGAGCTACTTCCAGGACAGGCTCCAAAGCTACAGCGAAACCCTGTCTTGAAAAACCAAGAAAAAATAAAAAGAAAAAGAAAAAGAAAAAGAAAAAGAAAAAGAAAGAGAATGAAGTCCGGGGCCAGGTAATTTCTTAGTCTTCAAGGACCACTTAAGTATTGCTAGGAAAAGGAAGTGACATAGGAAGCTGGGGTTTGGGAAGGTGTCCTTGAGAGGGTCATATCCATAGGCCACTTCCAAGGTTAACCATTGAGGAGCTATAATTCTGAATTTCAGACAGATGACACTTGTTAGTTATGAGTCGCATAAGCTTAAAGCTACGTGGTACATAATCATGCTAGTATCTTCCATTGGTCAAGCGTCAATCATTTGCCAGGCACTATACACACATGCGTGTGCTCATACATGTGTGCATGTACACACACACTCACACGGCATCTCTTACTTTTTTACTCTTTCCCCAATCTACTACTTTTCCTTACTTTTCATGAGAAAAGAAAATTTAGAGAGGTCGTCCTGCCATGCATTCCGTGAGCGATAAAGCTAGGATCTGAGCACAATAAACCCAACCCTCTAGCCCAGGGTAAAATGCAATAGCATCTTTGCCCACACACCCTGTAAAACACATGCATATGTAAAATGAATATTTAATAACACAGTGCATCAAATAGCCATTGTTGCATAACAAACCTCCCCAAAATATAGTGCTTTAAAAACAATTCGTCACTATTTCCCACAGAGCTGTGGGTTGGCGGGGCAGTTCTGCTGATGTGGGCTAAACTTGGCTGGCTGGGGAAACTATCTTGCCTGTATCTATGAGCAGCCAGCAAGCTTACTGAGGGATCGCCTGATCCACAATGGCCTCAGATGGATGTTTTGGCTTAGTTCCCCTTGGTTTCTCCTCCACAGGGAGTTTAGTCCTGTGTTATTCACAAGATGATGGCAAACTTTAAGAAGAAACTAAAAACACACCAGGCCTCTTGAGGGCAGGCTTCAAATTGGCATACCATCATCCTTGCCTTGTTGGCCCAAGAGACCACAAGACCAGCCCTTATTCAAAAGCAGCAAAGGATGACCTATTTTCTGAAGGGAAGAGCAGAAAAGGCCTGGACAGAAAGAAGGACAGAGAAGGGAGCCTTTTTTTTTCCTTTTGGAATCTTACTACATCTAATATTTTCAGACATTTTTCCTATAAAAATAAAAAAGAGCAGGTGGGAGAACAGAGTGCTATCCTAAGATGTGGCTGCAATGGTCAATCTTTTTGTCCCCTGGCTAGGTTTAGACATACCTCCGAGTGTGCCTGTGATGGTGGTCCCAGAGAGAACTAACCGAAGAGGGAAGACCAATTTAAAAGTATGTGGCACCCTCCCAGGGGCTGGGTTTGCAGACTGAACCAAAGACCCAAACTGAGAATAGAGGCTAAGCACCGGCCTGCCTCTCTTTCTGCTTCCCGGTGGATGAGACCAGCGAGCACCCTGCCATCACAGACAGCACCGGTCCCCCATCCTGTGCCTTCCAAACCACGGTGGATGCTCTCCCCCGCATTGTGAGCCACAACCATCCTCTTCCTGCTTATGTTGCTTTGTGTCGTGTGCTTGATCCCAGTAACAAGAAAAGTAACGGCCACAATGACTTTCCTAATTAGCGCAACAGCACGGGAATCCTCTAAGCCGTCTGTGCTGTTCATTCCCATTGGCCTACGAGGTGTAGGAAAGGACAATGCACTAGGTGGATAAGTAGCTCTTTTATTTCGGGAGGCAGGGCTTGAAAATAACCGTGTGCTCAGGCACATGAAATAGCTTTGCAGTAGAAGATTTTTTTAAAAGGCAAAACAAAACTGAAAATTTGACTTCCTGTGTGCCCTGCAAAGGAAAGGGGGGTGAGGGAAGAAACTGTGAATGTGTGATGAGCAGCTGGCTTTTATTTTTAAACACATATTATTGCTACACAGATCGTGTGTGGTGTGTGTGTGTGTGTGTGTGTGTGTGAGAGAGAGAGAGAGAGAGAGGGGGGGGGGAGAGGGAGAGGAGGGGAACTTACTAAGAAACTCTAGCAAGTGGGGATATCATTTCAAGGGAGTGCTAATGAGATTGGCTCGATCTTTTCAGAATAAAGTGAGTCTCTTTCCCCCTTCAGTATATGGAACTGAGGAAAGAAACAGCAAATGCTGAGAGGAGCGAGTGCTGCAGAGTCTCCCTAGGTGGCCAAGAGACATTTGGAGCCCCTGAGCTGGGGCTTTAGTCGCTGAGAACAGATCATCCTACAGGGAAAACATCAGGACTGCTCACGTGGGAGCCTTCAGCACCTTCAGCACGTGAGCCTGTTGACGCTGAAGACTGTGCCCAGAGGGAGGATGACAAGGTCACTGTGGGAAGTAAGGTGCTGAGGGGCTATTACCTTGAGCTAGACAAATCCGAGCAAAATGAAAATGTAATACTCCCAGAGCCACATCCTGTTTCCCATGATCACTGAGGAGGGAAGTCGGAAATGGTAAGACAGTACACCCACAATCAAGTTGTTTTGTAGGGGTTTTGTTCTTATTTATTCATTTTCTCTGGTGTAGATGGGAGGTCCTGTGGACTGAAGGTGAGGGTCTGTGCACACTAACCAAGTGCTCTATCCCCACTCCTTGGCCATCCTGAAGGTCTTCCAGTGACTGACTTACTGAACCTATCGCTCCCACCAAGGCTCGGTGGGAAAACTGTTCAGGAAGGTGACAGAGGCAATGAGCAGCCATGACCACAGGCAGCTCTGTCTAAAGAGAACTGAATACAGCTGAGGGTGGGGGAGGGCCCTGTGCAAACCAACAAGCAAGCCTGTGGGCCAGACCGGCCTGTTGGTGCTGCTCTGTGGCCTCTGCTCCACCACCTTTGAACTGTCAACAAAACCAGCCACTCTCGCCCTTGTCCCAAATCAACACAAAGAGTCAACATGACTTTTTTTTTCTAATTACAGGTTTTACTCCTCTTTCTGGGAAAAAAAAAAGTTAAAACAATGTTGCAAAACTATGTGGCAATCTCAGGAAGCCTGTGGGTACATGACCGGCACCACTGAAACGTCACCTTAGGTTTTTCCACCCAGCTGAGCACACAAATCAGGAAAACAAAATATGTATTGAGGGGTAAGGAAGATGCTGAAACCTCCTGTTTTCTCTTGAAACATGAGATTTAGACGAAAAGGTCATTGTGGGTTTTTTTTTTATTTATTTTTTTTAGTTATATAGGTAGGATTTAAGTAATGCAGTTGTGAAGACAGACTATAGCTAGAGACCAGCGTGGTTCAGCTTTTGCACACTTTCGACGGAAATGGCAGCAAACAGACCCACGCTAGCTTACACATCCTCCCGTAAAGTAAATACAGAGAAATCCCCTGTTTTTCTCATTTAAAAGTCGCTGGAAACATGACTGTGTTCTTCTTGATCATTTTCCCACCATACCCCCACAGCATATCTGGATTTCTGATGGTGCTATTGGAGAAACAGCAATTTTCATTTGTTTTCTTAAGAAAGGACCTTACTGTCTTCCGGTGTGCCTCAGACTGGCCTGGAGTGTACCATGCCCTGGTGCAGAGTCTCATGTCCTGGGGTTACAGGCTCATACCTCCTCAATAGGATTTCTGTACCTCGATGGTAGGTGTCTCTGCTGATGCCGTAAGCAGGATCAAACCAAATTGAAAAAGTAAAAGACCAGGTTTATTTTGAGCAAAGCAACTTCCAGGTGACTTCTCCATCTCCAGAGATCAAGGTGGGAGTAGGGGCAGGAGAAATCACATGACCAAATTAAAACAGGGTGCTTACCTACCCTGTAGTTGAGGAGTGATGACTTGTCTTCCACAAGCTGGCAAACTTTACGTGGAGTTTGGGGGGAGGGGAAGCTACTGTGGGCACCAAGAATGTCAAACTGGGCTTTTTGGAGCCTTCCTTTTTTTGTGGAAGATTCTCTGAGAGGGTGGGATTTGGAGAAACAGGAACGGACTTTCACAGGAGCTGGAAGTTCCAGCCCAACACTCCTCACCTGGTGATCCAGAATTTTGTGATGTTCTGCATTAAGTTACAAGTGAAAATGTCCTCTCACTGATTGATAGCCATTTGGGTAAAATTAGGGCCATTTGTCTCCATTTTTGTTCATTTTGTTGATCTCCTTTGACCCTTGAGAGTCTTTGAAGGAAGTCTCCAGCCAGCATCAGCCCCGGCAGGGACGAGGTGAAACCCTCAGAAATCAGCTGTGTTCAGGGTTGCCGCTCTTCTCTCACGGATGCCATCAGCTGATTGCTGACACCTTTTGATTGAGATCATTTTAGGTCAGTGTGCTTTCCCCAGATTGCATCTAGCAAAATAAATGATAAAGGGTTTGTCCTATGAGGAACCCTGTGGCTGATTACTGGCTTTGGGGATGTTCTTGAGAAAGAGCTCCTCCGTTTCCAACACATTCTCTCTCTTCCTCTCTCTGGCACATAAACACACAAACACATACCAATCAGACAATCACCACGTTACTTAGTCTTTCAGAAAAGATCTAAGTGATGGAGGCAGGACAATGCTCTTAGCAAAACCTGTTTGTCGGTCCCCCGCCCTCTGTTTTGCACACTGCCTGCGGCTGTGGCTCTAGGCTGTTACCTGGTCTCTGCTCCACACTACAGTGATGTGGGAGTGTCATATATCAATCTGTTGATTTCATTGGTTAAGCAATAAAGAAACTGCTTGGCCCTGTGGGTAGAGTAAACAGAACAAAATGCTGGGAGCAAGAGGAAGTGAAGTAAGACTCCACAGCTCTGCTCTCTGGAGCAGACGCCTCAGAGAGACACCATGCTCCTGGCTCCTGGGCAGACGCACGCTAAGAAGCTCCGACCCAGGATGGACATAGGCTAGAATCTTCCCGGTAAGCGCACCTAGGGGCGCAACACAGATGATTAGAAATGGGCTAAATTAATATGTGAGAATTAGCCTAGAAGAGGTTAGATAGAAATGGGCCAAGCAGTGTTTAAAAGAATACAGTGTCCATGTAATTATTTCGGGGCATAAGCTAGCCAAGCAGGCAGCGGGGTGCTGGGGACGCAGGCCTGCCGCGCTCCTATTACTACACTACAGAGCCCTTCTCTGACAGGCACCTGGCTGGTGTTTCTCACTCTCGTCAGTGGCTGACAGCCCGATGTCTTCTCTCCACATTTGCCTTCCTCTCACAACCACACAGCACATGTCTCCTCTCCAGTCTCCCCCAGCACCCCGACGCCCCCATTTTTGCTCCTTGGGGTACAGTCTGATCTCGTGCCCCTCCTCGCCCCAGTTGCTTTTCTTGGGAAAATCTGCCCACTGCTCAGATTCTGCCAAAAAAGAAGTCCAGGTACTGGCAACCACAGAGCAAGAACCTTCCCTTCTTGGAGGGCAAAGAAACTTGGAAACAGCCACATCCAAGCCCCGCTATGCTACTGGAATGCAGCGCTTCTGAGACGTGGTGATTTGCATGTGTGTTTCCATGAGAACTTGGGCTCATGCTCCAGAAACAAGGTCGGCTGTTGGAGCTTTGTCTCCCTAGGAAACAGAGAAGCAGGCCAATGCTAGGGCTTCCCTAAGTCTTTAAGTAGAGAGAAAACACATTTTGAGTTAATTTTGGACGTGTCCGTCTTTAACCTGTCCTGATGATTCATAAACTAATTTCAGAGACCAATCAATCCTCTGGGTCGTGAAGTAGGACAGGGCTGGGCTGGGCTGGGTAATTCTTCTGCCTGGCTGGCTTCGCCTGAGAGAAGTCACCTGAATTCAGTGGGTAACTGGTCTTCCGTAGAGGAACCATGACCATGGTATTTCTGTGCCTATTCCCTGGTGGTAATGGCTCCGTTTTGGTTCTCTCCTCTCCCTATGCTCTCAGAGTCTCTCTCCAGAGTCTTTTCTGGGTCTTCAGACTCTTCCCACGGCTGCTGACTACGGATTCAAAAGTGGGCTTTCCAAAAGGCAGAAGAGGAATCTGAATGTCTTGAGAGCTGAGGCAGGAGTGGACCTGCCGCCTCTTCCATCTCATTCCCATGGCTATAAGTAATAAATACAGAGAATCTATGAAGATACAGCTCATATTCTTTTTTCTTTTCCTTAGCAGGAGTCGGCAAATTGTGTCTTTTCAGATCAAAGCTGACCCTCCACGCATCATTACAGATACAGGTCTGTGGAAACAGCTGGCATTATTAGTTACATATGCTGTCTATGGCTGTTTTCACACGATTGTAGCTGCTATGGAGATTGCACAGATCACGTAGTCTAAAACATTTACAATATGGCTTGTTCTAAAAATAATAATTTTCTGATCGCTATTCTGTAGTCGCTTATCATGGAACAGTTCCTTTATGGGCTGTGCCTAGCAGTCGGGGCCGAGGGGACAGAAGGAGGGAAAGGGCACCTGTAGTCTGCTTTTCCCTTGGCAGGTGTAACACTATGGCAGGTGAGCTAAACTGACATCCTTGTGTGTAGCCTGTGGGGTTGTCAGGCCCTGTTAGCTTCAGCATAGTGCACATACAGGCGGACAGTCCTGGGAACAGTTTGGAAAGTTTACAATAAAGGAAAATGTCTGGCACGAGACACATACCTGAGATCAACATCCGGGCACTAGACTGCACTTGCAACGGAGCAAGAAGAACCTGAAGTTTCCCGTATGTACACAGGCCCTTCCACTGTGTGTGACTGTCCTCACCACAAAAAGCAGAAAGGAAGAGACCTTGAGGCCATAAACTGTGGCAAGTTCGTCTTTCAAAATCTGAGCTCCCCCTCGCAACTCACCCACCAAGTGAGTCCAAAGAATGGCAGATTGTGTGTAGGAAGCGGACTTCATCACTGGCGATTGCACAGATGCACATAGAATAGAAGCCAGAGGCTCTGTTACTGGGCGATTCTATGAGTTTCTTAGATTCTTTTAGGCTAAGTCTACACTGGGAAGGCCATCATCACCAGGCTTTAACTCCAGCCTCCAAATAGAGCTGGAACGAACCTCCCCTTGGGGAGCGGGAGCCCATTCCTGTGGTGGGTCATAAAGTGCAGTTTATGAGCACCTTGGCCCAGATCCACCCTAGTTTGGATGCATAATGACCTTGGGCACTGCAGTGCAATATTAATGTTGAAAGGAAGCCATTAAAGCCAGGCTCCTACCAAGAAAATAACGGTGGAGCTAATTCAAATGACTCCCTCCGAAGTTCCTGCCTCTACCCCAACAACAAGATCACTTTGTTTTACAAGTTAAAAGCTGCAAGGCCACTCTTCTCCTTTGCTAATGAGCAAATCACTGGGTGCTGGAGACCAGAGCAGGCAGCAGAGTTTTCAGCTGGCTGGCTCAACCCCTGCGCCTTTTCTCCAGTGGAACCCAGCATGGTTGGAAGAAACTGAAGGCCTGGGAGGGGGGGCCAAAGTTTAAGACAGCTTATCCATGACTATCTATCAAATAAGGCTCAAATCTTAGTGTCTGAATCAATTCTCTTCATGCTCACAATGCCTTGGGGTTGCCTGAGCTCAGCTGGGTAGTTCTGAGTCATCTTGAGCCACAGGCCTCTAGGCTCACCTGATTTTGGAAAATGCAAGACGGTGCTAAGCTGCAGGGGGGGACTTGTGACCAGATCACTGGATATCTCATCTTCTTAGTCTCCACGATGCCAGGCTCTCTCAAAGCACAGCAATTGGGCTGCAAGAGGAAGAAAGCAGGAGTTTCACTCAACCAAAGGTCTGGACTTTGGGGATGTCATATCTCCCATATGCCACTGGTCAATGCAATCATAGGTCCAGTACATATTCAAGAGGATGAGGACTGGGCTTTTGTTACTGGGGATTGGAGCCCAGGACTCCATGATGCCAGGCAAGGGCTCCAAGATTGAATTGTTATCTCTCTCTTTTGCTTGTTACTTTGAGACAGGGTGTTGCTAAAATGCCCAGGCTGGCATTGAACTCACTCTGAAGCCTAATTAGGTCTTGAACTCCTGACCCTCCTGCTTCAGCCTCTAGAGTGGCTGGAGTTACCATACCCTTTGATATAAACTGTGACATGGCGACCCATGAAGGGATTGCTGGAGGCTTATCACTTATGGTGATAATAATAGAATCAATAGGACCGGAACCTATCCTATCCTGCCAAGGCTTATGGGGTACACTTCAGAAAGCAAGACAGAGAAGGAATGAAGGAGGGAGTGAAGGAAAAAGAGAGAGAAGAAGGGGAAAGCAGGAAGGAGGGAGGGTGGGAGATAAGGAGGAGGGGGAGATATTTCTAAACTCTGCAGTAAACGTGGACAATAGGTAATGTTTTCTCCTAGCTCAGAGGTGGTCTGCTTTTATTCTATTAAGGTCTTCTACTGATTGGATGAGGCCCACACACATTATAAAAGGTAACCTGATTTACTCAAAATTCTTTGATTTGAACATTAACCTCGTCCTTTCCCTGCCAAAAACTTAACTAGAACTACTCCCACGAAAACACCCAGAATAGCATTTCCTGAAAGAACTGGGTACTTTGACCCAGTCAGGTTGATGTATAATACTTTGTGTCACCAGGGTCAAACTTAGGGCCAGACAACCACAGCCAGCAAACCTATGGGCCCTCTGCAATCTGGATTTCCTTTGCCCTCTTTATTACCAAAAGGATGGCCTCTCATAGTTATTGATTTAAAGGATTGTTTTTCACTATACCTTTACAAAATGAAGATAGAGAAAAATTTGCCTTCACAGTTCCTACTTATAACAATTCTCAACCTTTGAGGAGGTACCACTGGGCCGTCCTCCCCCAGGGTATGTTAAATAGCCCCTCCCTGTGCCAATATTTTGTGAACCAACCATTGCAAATAATACGCAAGAAATTTCCCAAATCTATAGTATACCATTACATAGACGACATTTTGTTATCCGATTCAAACATGGATACCTTGAACAGACTGTGTGAAGAAATAAAGATACTTTTACCTAAATGGGGATTGCAAATTGCTCCTGAAAAGATTCAGAAGAAAGATTCTGTTAATTATTTAGGTTATAAAATAGGTTTGCAAAAAATTAAGACACAAAAGGCACAAATTAGGAGAGATCGCCTGCGGACTCTTAATGACTTTCAAAGACTGTTAGGAGACATTTCCAGTCTACGACCAGCTATTGGGATAACACCTGATTTAATAATTCATTTGAACAAAACCTTGGATGGTGATAAAGATTTAAACAGTCCCAGAGAATTAACAGCTGAAGCAGAAAAGGAACTGACAATGATTGAGGAAAAATTACAACAGGCACACGTGGACAGGGTGAATCCAGAGCTCGATTGTATTCTAGTCATATTACCATCAAAAATTTCTCCTACAGAAATTTTAATGCAGAGAGATGATATTATCTTGAAATGGATCTTTTTACCACATAAACCAAGTAAGAAACTGAAAACTTAAGTGGAAAAAGTCTCTGAGTTAATTATAAAAGGCAAGATGAGTCTTCGTCAACTAGCAGGCATAGACCCAGCAGAAATTATAGTGCCTTTCACTGCTGATGAAATAAAGAAATTATGGGAAGATAATGAACCATGGCAAAGAGCTTGTGCTAATTTTTTGGGAGACATTAATAACAACTATCCAAAAAGCAAGAGGCTTAACTTCATAAAGAAAACTTCTTGGATTCTTCCTCGAATCGTCCGTGATGCTCCAATAACTGGAGCCCGTACATTCTATACTGATGCCAATAAATCAGGGAAGGCAGGTTACAAATCAGAAGACTTGGGTAAGGTGGAACAAAGTCCTTATGATTCTGTCCAGAAGGCGGAATTATATGCCATTCTTATGGTGCTAAGGGATTTTAAAGAACCTATTAATATAGCTACTGATTCACAATACGCAGAAAGTTATTTTACATATTGAAACTGCTGAATTTATACCTGATGATACAGAACTAACCTCATTGTTTATCCAGGTTCAAGATTTGATCAGGAACAGACTTTGCCCTATGTACATAACACACATCCGATCCCATACGGGTCTGCCAGGTCCTCTAGCACAAGGTAATGCAGAAATTGATCAATTATTGATTGGTAGTGTGCTACAAGCCTCTGAATTTCATAAAAAACATCATGTTAATAGCAAAGGTTTGAAGAAAGAGTTTTCTATTACATGGCAACAAGCTAAGGAGATTGTAAAGAAATGCCCTACTTGCTCTTTCTATAACCAAACGCCACTGCTTGCAGGGGCTAATCCAAAGGGCACACAAAGGAATGAAATCTGGCAGATGGATGTGTTCCACTTTGCAGAATTTGGCAAATTAAAATATGTTCATCACACCATTGACACTTATTCAGGCTTTCAGTGGGCAACTGCTTTAAGTTCAGAAAAAGCTGATTCAGTAATCACTCATTTATTAGAAGTCATGGCTATCATGGGTATACCTACACAAATAAAGACGGATAATGGTCCTGCTTATGTCTCTAGGAAAATGAAATGGTTTTTTGATTATTACTATATCAAGCATGTTACAGGTATACCATACAATCCTACAGGTCTGGCAGTCATAGAAAGATCAAATCGAACTATAAAGGATATGTTGAACAAACAGAAAGGGGTGGAAAACACCCCCAGAAATAGGTTACATAATGCATTGTTAACCTTGAATTTTTTCAACGCTAATGAGAAGGGAACAACGGCTGCAGAAAGACATTGGATAATGGAAAAGTCTACTGAACTAAATCAACCAGTTTATTTCAAGGATGTGCTGACCTCACAATGGAAGCCAGGAGATGTGCTGAGTTGGGGAAGGGGTTTTGCTCTTATCTCCACAGGTGAGGAAAAATTGTGGATACCGTCAAAATTAATAAAGGTTCGGTTTGAAGAAGAGAAGCCACTTGGAAAAGATAAGTAACAATTCATTCACAAAGATGGCGAGCATACTGATGGTAAGAAATACAGATAGGTTGGGGGCAGGGTTCTTTTCTTATCTCCACAGGAAAATACTCATCTTCAAAGAAATTAAGGGACCCTGAATATTTAATTACTGATGGATGGACACATTTTGTAAGTATTAATTATATATATATATATGTCTTATTAAACATTTTTTTAATTTATTTATTTA